TGAACTCGTTGAACATTTTATTTTGTTGGTTTGTTTTAATCTGCTCAAATTAACCGTTGATCCTTAAGACTGAACAGAAATACATTTAAGTTTGTTTTATTCATGAATGGATATTCTGTAAAAGAAATTGTATCCATCCCAAATTACTAGATAAGAATAAGCTATATTAATTTAGTTATTGAACGATATTGACTAATCTCATTTCATATTGTCATTCCTAGTCGATTCATTTTATATTATGGAGCTTTAGATGACATGGTTTGTTTTAAATGCCCATGAAATTATCTGTTAAAAGAGTTACGTAACAAGTTATAAGTTATTTGTTGCGCTGCAAGAGATCAATTAAAACCCGACTACTTTATTAGTGACCTCAGTGACAGTGACGCTTTTTAACTCGAGTTGCGATCTCACATGAATGCTAGCTGCCTGAAGATTTTTGCTAAACCTTGATAACGAATACCAGTAAACAAGACGTTTGGATTTAGATTTCCCACTGGCTAGCTTCAACTATATATTAAATTGACTATGGATAATAATTGAATGAAGGACATTGAAAATATTTTTTGATTGAGATCATGAACCGATTGATGTTAGACTACCATTGAAAACCTGGAAGTACTGGACGATCGTTTCATTCTAGTATGGGACTCCTCAGCAGTGCTCACTAGTGACTGGTTTCAAGATGGATTTCCTGGAGTTCTAGTGAGAAGCCATGACCAGTGAAGTTCAACCGTGCTTGTTGTGAGGCAGTTACTCACTGAAGACAATGGTGGACTGTCGCGCAATATCCAAAGTGTTAAATCAATGTATTCAGTGAGAAAGCTAATAATGCCATCACTGCTTCTGAAAAAAGCATTAGTGAGTGTGTAAAATTAGTTGGTAATAATAAAAATAGTTCACATCCATACTACCACAAAAGACATGAATTTGAGGTCACTTAGAAAATAAGCACTTTGGACAGATTTGATAATACTGTGGGATAATGAGAAATGTAGGAGATACGTATGTTTAAGTCAGATAATGTTACAATATAATAATAGTGACTGTATACAATAAAAATAGTTTACTCAAATGTAGTTTTGATTAGTGTTAAAACTGGTAGGACATACAAAAATATTAGGCAAACAAACGCAATATATTTACCACAGTAGGAACATGAAATGTCCTAAATACTGAAAGTATTCACACATGAAACTGAAGGTTCTAGGTTCCATTTTCGCTTGCGGGGTTGTGAATGGGCGCTACTGAGGAATCCTATACTAGAATCGAACAGCCGTTTAGCGCTCCTAGGTTTTCGATGGTGTTTTGACGTCATGATTTGAAATAAGTTTGAAATATTGGACACCAGCTTAGTGCTTTTAAGATAATGAGCTCACTGTGATGTATGTTCTAGATTCGACTTTGTATAGTGAAGAAGAATATGTATATCTTTGTAAACGCATTTCGTATGAAATGACTATAATTAACATCAGATATCAATGTTAAATTGATTGAACAATAAATTTACTGAAGATTTTATTTCGGTTTCATTTATCTTCAATAAAATTTGATTTTATTTTCTACTAAAGAAATAGAGATCAAGATATTCAATAAAATGTTACGTAACTATTTAAGTTTAATAGTTTAAAGAGAGCAAGCGTGGTGTGGGTTACTTATATCTATACAAGTAGTATATAATGGTGATCAGGCATAGAATGTAATCATTAGATGATTGTGTAATGAGGTAACTGAAAATAGATTAATGGAGCCGGAGCCTTTGAACTAGAGGTCTAATCCACAAGGCAGTGGAGCAACGTCAGGAGATGCAGCCCTATGGTAGTCGGTGACCAACAATAGGTTCTTACGCCATTTCTTCACTCACGATTCTGGAGCCTATGTACACCATTGGTTTAAAATAAGTACTTTCCAACTCTCCTAGATGAATCATCCACATCCACCAATTCTTTCTAAGCACCGATTGTTCGTCTTTCGTCCTTTCAACTTCGTAAACAACACCTCCGCCAAGAGAAGGCAATGAGTTTGACTTTCATGGTAGTGACTTTATACACGTAGCCATATGAGAGCATTTGAAGAGGGAGAGCTAATTCTTCCCACACTCGACCATACTAGGTTATTTGAAGGCACCTAAGAGAATGAAATGAATTCATATTATTCTACATTAATCTTCATTCTTATTCTCTTTAATATAAATAATAGGAACAATGTGTATTCATTTTAATAGTTGACAATATGTTTATGAATTTCATACTTCTTTTTTTAGGTATTTCCAAGTGTTTAACATATAAAAATGTAGACAAATATTCATGTAAAATTCATTGTTTGTGTGTGTGTGTGTGAGTGTGAGTGTTCGACTCATGTTTTGGAATTACCTGCTAGAACAAGTTACTCACTGAAATGTACCAACCCATGAATTAGTTGAGATTTTCTTGTTTAATAAAATGATGATTAAGTATACTAATTTCAAAAGAACAAACAAACAAAGAAAGAAACATGAACAGTATATATGATATATGAATTATGTACTTTAGTCTTCTCCTGGCTGAATATTTCATATATGTTACTAAAGAGAAAAAAGAACAAGAATTTGAACATGTTCTAAAGTGAATTTCATTAATATCAGTAAAATCTTTACAGAGATTCAAACAAACTTTTAATTACTTATTTACTTACTTACTTACGCCTGTTAATCCTCGTAGAGGAGCATAGGTCACCCACCAGTACTCACCATCTAACCCTGTCCTGAGTAATCCCTTCCAGATCTTTCCTTTCCCAACATAATGTGTTCTTTGGCCTTCCACTTTTCCACTTCACTTCACGATTCCAAGTTAGGGTTTGTCTCGTGATGCAGTTTGATGATTTGAGTAATGTATGTCCTATCCACTTTCATCATCTTATTTGGTATCTGTAATGTAGTTCTGATCAATGTTGTATGTTCAGTTTTATTTTACGGATTGATTGTTCATTTTAATAAATCAATAAAACAGTTCATTTTTCCATTGAACAATAAAGTATGTGTTCTATTTCAATAGAACAATGAGAAGAAATTTATAAAAAGAGACTAATGGCTTTATATGATATATCCGGGCGAGAATTATGAATGGTAACTTTTGAGAACTATTTATAGGGCAATACGATACATATATTTTTACTGTATAATTATTAAGTAGCTAAACTATACATATTCGTGTTCCTCTTCTTATAAGCTTTATTTTCATCCATAAACAATTATCATACGATTGACCGTTCTTCAGTTATGCCCAATCTTTTAATTACAGTCTCCCACATTCACAACCACTTGTGGCTAGAACTTGTACAAATGTTGTTTCCTATTTTGTGGTTTGATGTGGTCTGTTTGGTTTTGTATATAAACCCAATATATTTGAAATACATGATTCATATTGCAGAGGCTGAGATTTGTGTTCTGAACTCAACAAGCAAGGCTAGGCAAAGAGAAGGACCGATAAGGACTGTAGACTTCTCTTGTTCAGGTTTTATGCGTCATTGGTCGAGTTGATAAATTACTGTTCTCTAATTGGCGATATTTAACATTAACAATTTGTCTATATCTTTGTAAACGTGTATGCTTGAATCTTATTAACTACCTTACCTTGTTGTGTTTTACTTTACCTTGTCTCGCTACGCCTTGATTCAATTTGACTATAAATTCACTTCTGTATTTGCTCGTTCACACACATTAACCTATCTGCTGAAAAAATTCGCTCAATGTGCTTGTAACTTTGTTATCTGTGCTGTCCCTTAATAAACTGTAGTCACCGCTTCTTATTGCCTTCTGAATTCAAACACCGTTGGGAATTTGTATGCTAACGGTTAACAAAGTGATTGATTAACGAATCCATGAAAATATATCTATAATACAAAGTAAGGCATTTTGGAATTCGTAAGTTGTCTCTCCCCTTTGTATGAAACTTTAATGCATTATCAGTTTATAGTTCTCTGCTAATTAAACAGACCATCATATATATACGGTGAACAAGTCAATCAATTACTTTTATTACCCAACTAAGATTTTTATTAAAATGTTAAATTCACCAAAGCTCATTACAGTAGAGTAATTTCTGATTCAGATAACTTGTATAGTATGTATGTAAAAATTATATTCAACCAAGTCACTATAAGACATTAAGGAGGAAATTATATTGGTGAAACTTTTCATGTTCGATTATATTTCCTTGAAAAAACTTTGTCACTTATTTATTTTCAGAAGGGGTTTTGTAGAGATTTTAGTAATTTCTATAGCTGAAATCATGAGTCAATTGAAGCTAGACCATCACGAAAAACCTGGAAGTACTGGACGGCCGTTTTGTCTTAGTATGGGACTCGCGGGGTTCGGGATCGTGGATACGGACTGCTGAGGAGTCCCACAATAAGACGAAACGGCCATCCAGTGCTTCCAGGTTTTCAGTGGTGGTCTAACATCAATCGGTTCATGATCTCAATCAAAAACTTAACAATCTCCACAACCCCTAAACTGATAATCACTTGGTATTGTTTTACATGAATCTTCCCATTGATGTTTAGGACTGCAATTGATCGGTCTCTTTACACTTATATTAGATCTCTTTCAAATTGTCAATTGATCATGGTGACTAAAATTAGAAATTTAGAAATTTTTACAAGATTTTCTCGTATCTAAGTAAATTCATAAAATAGCCGAGCGTATGATGGACATACATAAGGGGAAACAAATTAAAAATTGCCTATGTACAATCCATGGATTAACCAATGAAATTTATATTCTATAAATGATAAAATACATTTTTACTATCTCACTTACACTTCATTTGATGGTTCACAAATCACACACCCACTCGCATGATTAAAAACTCTGGACAAACATATCCGTGTGTTTACTACGACTAAGATACAATTTAAATAAAACGTAAACGTTCTCTGTTTACAATCATATTCTCACGATTAACACTACAGATACTATCCTGTCAACAACAGCAACAACAAAAAAAAGCCCAACAGAATTCATAATGAAAGTATTGGGAATTTGTATTGTAGTTACATTAGTATTCAGTGGAATAAATTGTGTAAAAAGTAAGTATGTTTAATTGTTTCATCATATCATGTCCGGATGATTAAATGAGAGATAGTCTCATTGTTTGTGTAAGATGTTAGTATTATAGACTAAATTGTTTTATCGGTTCTGATATATCACAAGATAAATGATCTTACAGAAGTCAGTATCGGTACCATATTCGAAAAACAAAGTCTAATCAGACAATGGTAAATGAGGAATAAATGTAGTGTTCCAGATGAACACAATTCAATGAGGCTGTAATACATGCTCTATTGATAATTCTGAAGCTAAAGAAGATTCTTGTCGTCATTGCTTAACGAATATTAACTTAATTCGTTGTCACATAAAATAATTTTAGAAATATAGATGTTTTAAAATTTTACATCATAGATTGACCTTTTTTCGGAGTGGCCGAGCGGTCTAAGGCGCCAGACTCAAGAGTGTTCTTCTGGGTGTTCTGGTCCACGATTTAGGCGTGGGTTCGAATCGCACCTCCGACACATACATAGTGACCTTTATTAGACAACCATTAAGGAAAAATAACTAATTGACAACTGCTTTGTCCTGATATGCAACTCCCCGTTAAAGTTGTAAATGAGCATTGTTGTGGAGTAAACAATTAGGTCAAAGCATTCTCAGTACTTCCTAGTTTTCAATAGTTTCCTAACTTCGGTCAATTCCTGATGAAAAAAATATGCAAAATTAAATACACTAGATCTCTCTATAGTGCATATAGAAATTAAGAGTTAAGTACAATGAATATAAGTATTTTGTTGATGTAGTGAACATTTTATTAAAATAAGCCTTAAGAATCACAACAATTATTTGAACCACTGACACAACTATCTCGACGTAGTTCTACCTTCAGAACTAGTGAGTTAACGGTTAAAGTTTAATAAATGTAGAGTATTGTTTAAGACGGATGAAGGTGACTGATGATTGGTCGGAACCTAGGTTTTGTGCTGGTTGATGCGTCGTCAGAATTTCTTAGCTGTTGTTTGTGGGACAAATGACTCTAACAATATCTGAGTGATTTTGCTGAGCAATAGATAAATCTTAATATCAGAAAGGGTTTTGTGAAGATTTTATTAATTTCTATAGTTGAAATCATGAGTCGGTTGAAACTAGACCACCACGGAAAACCTGTAAGCACTGAAAGGCCGTATAGGACTCGCGGGGGTCGGGATCGTGGATGCGCACTGCTGAGGAGTCCCATACTAGGACGAGACAGTCGTCCAGTGCTTCTAGGTTTTCCATGGTGATCTAGCTTCAATTAACTAGTGATTTCAACTATCGATATACCGTAATGTTCAGATTTTCTGTTGGTTGCTTTTAGCTTGTGAATATGAGATTAAGCGAATTGCAATGTTACATCACTGATCATCATTGATACATCAGAAACCTAGTAAATTAAAGTAATGAACTGGAAAAATGTATTTTATCTGAGCTATGCATTCTAATAATGTGGTCATACATGTGATTGTTAACTCATTTATAAAAAATAATGAAAGTCACGTCAATGAAGGATCAAACGGACAAAAAGGGATCATTGTGAATAGGAGAGAAAAAATTAGCATGATGTGAAAAAAATAGGATGCTGTCAAATCATTCAATAAAGGTAGAAAGTAGAAAATGACGTTTGCCGATAGTTAAAATGAGTCATAGAATAGACATCAACCATACCTTTTAAAGTGTTGTGCAGTTATTGTCAAGAATGAATTCATAGGTTTGCAGAAAGCTTGACTGTTCGCAAATTCAAACCCCTTTATATGTACAGTGAGTGTGCCATGCCTATCTTCAGACTATTTTACTGTTTAGGGTGGTGTGACAACTTCCTACTCCATATTATATTAATTGTTTCCTCTCTTTTATTTACAAATAGCGCTTACCGTTTATTTGCACTTTTATTTAATTGACCTTTAAATGATTTTCATATAAAGTGCCTCGACAATTACATTCGAAAGTTCACCATTTTTTATACTCAGTAGCTAAGTGAATAATGTGATGGCGTTTGAAGCGAATGGTACTGAATCCTAGTCCTGGAGTGAATACCAACTCCAGCGCCTTCGATCTCACTCGCGAACGCTTAACCTCTAGAGGTTTTCAATGGTGGTCCAACAACAATCGGTTCATGATCTCAATCAATAACCTTTATTTATTAATCTTTTTTTTCACTAGATCAATGGTAACATTTAAATGATATCCAGGATACATGTCTTTATGAAGCATAGTTGTAGATTTGTATTTGGATGTTTTGTATAAAAATCAAGTATAACAATTGTACCTTATTGCCGAACTCCTCAAAAATGACACTATGCTTTTTATCTTTATATATATTAATGTGATAAATTACGAGTATTTTCTATTTACCTGTAACACAATCTTCACTAAAAGGAGTAGATATTTTAGTGTATCATAATAGGACTGTGGAGATTGTTGAGTTTCAATTGATATCATGAACCGATCAATGTTAGACCAGTCAATGTTAGACCATCACAACCCTATACTGATAACTATCATGTGCTCATTAGTGACTAGCTTCGAGAGGGAATTGTAGGAGTTCTAGTGAGAAGCCGTGATCAGTGGAGCTAATCCGTGTCAGTTAGAGACAGGTATCTACCTCAGACAATGGGAGCTGGTCGCACAAAATTGTGGATTAATTGAAGTTAGACATTAACACAGTTGGGTGCCGGCTCAGTGGTCTAGAGGTTAAGCGTTCGCGCTATGGCCATAGGGTTCTGGGTCCGAGTCCTTCATACGGGGTCGTTGATGAGCACAGCTGGAACGAAACAGTCGTCCATTGCCTCCAGGTTTTCAATGGTGGTCTGACATTGATCGATTCATGATCTCGATTTTTGTGTATTTTTGTTATTTTCATTCCATTCTACCAATCTAACTGTAAACTAATTCATTAAGCGAATAATATTAGTAGTCACTCTAAATTGTCTGTGAAAATCGGAAATTGTGACGTATCATAGTATAAATTTTCAGATAAGTTAGGTTTTTTTTACCATAAAATTCATTCTATTTCAGAAGGGTGTTTAGGTTCTTTTCATATCAGAGACTCACATAAGGTTGACATTTAGGAGGACTGAATGTCGAATTACTCAAAACAGACCATCGTTCAATGCTCTCTATGAACTAATTCATTACGAATAAACTAAAACAGGAAGAAACTGGTACGCATACAGTAAGGTGGTTTGCATCTTTAAAGAAAGTGTTTTTATAGTAGATAACAAGTAATATACGAAAAAGTAAAAAAAAGGAAAGAGGAGGAGTACCTTTTGAAGTACGCCAACTTCGAATAAGAAAGGATTGGGTTACTTTTCTTCATACTTGATATACCCTCCTTTTCCAAAATCTAGTGACATAGACAGTCATCCAGCTAACATGTTTAATAACGTAAAACTTAGAGTCGGATCAAAGGCAGAAGTTTAGTCTTGAAAATTGTAGTGAATGTACTCTCCACTTTTATAATCCAAGCAATTTTTTATAAATCACAACAACTGTAGAATCCAGCGACTTCAGGCATTTTGAAGCATCAATTTCACTAAAATCTTGGGATACGACTTTCTCTAGAACTTTGAAAAATCGGATATACTTGTCATGTTCTTATGCCCAGTTAATTATCACGTGATAAGATCATTAATTAGAATATTGAATTGTTTGACCTTGGCGCTGCGCCGAACCAATGACATGTCAACCGGCAAGAGCAACCTAGAGTCAACTTTGAGTCTTTATTGTTTCTTTTCAAATATCCCTGCCTGTTTGAGTCCAGATCACAATCTCAGTTTCTATTGTATGAATCATGTACTTCGTACATACGCAGTTTATATATAAGCAAATCAGACTGCATCGTACCATTAAATAGAAAATATCAATTATACACGATTAGGCTAAGAATGGCTGTGAGATAAATTGGGAATAACTTGAGTATAGTAAATCATATAATAATAGTCAATAGGTCAAATAAAAGCTCATAATAAAAGGAAATTGAATATACATGTAATAGTTATACTATAAGAATATATATAACAACGGTCCGAAAACAGATCTCAGCAGTTATCATTCACTTAATCATCATCCGACTATAACAATACTCTGTTTGTTGTATATGTAAATTCAGTGAACTAATCAGCGCAGAACAACTCATGTTTGTATTGATGGAATGAATTTAATAACAAATCTTAAAACCATTCGATAATATAGCGAACAAGAACACAGCTGGGGACAATCGAATATACTTAAAAACAAAATTACAGCACATTTTTGTAAAATCTGAGAATTTGCAAAATACCAATCAATTGTCACAATTGATTGATCACTGGGTGGTGATCAATGTCATGCTTGTCTAGTCCTTATTAGTGCAGATCGAATGCTATCGATCTAAACCAATCAATTGTCTCAAACTTGACTGTTCCTTCTACAAATACCAGTCAATCGTCTCAGACTTCATTGTTCCTGCATTTTCATATCAATCTCTTTATGTTCCCGTTCTTTCCTTCTCGACCTTCTTCTGCCAGATATTTTAATCTTGAATATCATTACATACTACTCATGTATATATAAGTAGCCCACACCACAATAATACCAAATTACTATCATATAAATTATGCAACCAGAATTCCTAGATTTCTAATCACATCATTATTATGACATAAATGAATTCACGATAGAGATTGAAGGTAAATCGTGTTTCTATATAAGATGTGCAATTATAACTAAATATTTAAGTGATAGTCGTCTGATTAACTGTCATTATTTTCAGGGATATTGCCAACTAATACGCGTACCTACATTAGAATTTTACAGTACCATACAAATGAGGTTGTTATTTTCTTATATAATCCCTTTAATATCTTATATGGATCTATCAGACAATTGAGCTTTCTAACAATTTTTAATGTAATTTATCAAAAGAATAGTAGACATTGACTTGTTCAGACCTTATTTTTTTGATTGGTCTCAACTAAGATTCTTGCGTTGTTCTTTTGTACTATTTAAACTTGGATTCATT